ATAGGTGAGAGGATTATTCTAGGAGGGGTGGGTGAGATTCTGTGGCCTGCACTGTGCAGGGGGTCAGACTAGATGATCATACTGGTCCTTTCTGACCTTAAAGTCTATGAGGGTATGTCTACACTACCACCCTAGTTCGAACTAGGGTGGTAATATAGGCAATTGGAGTTGCAAATGAAGCCCGGGATTTGAATTTCCCGGGCTTCATTTGCATGGGGTTGGACTTGATGCCTCCAGAGGGCTCTTCCCACCCTAATCTTCTGAAATTTGATGATTCTCTGGGTGAGCTCCTGGCAACAGAGAACTGGCATATGGAAAAGGAAGCAGCTGTGCTCCAGGTTTATCAGCAACAGGTGAGATTGGAAAGATTTTTCTCTCAATGCTCCCTCCTTAACATGCAGTTTTGCTCCTGGCCATTCAGAATTGAAAGAGCAGTAAAAATGCTCTAAATACGCACAGAAAATTCTCTGTGTCTCCCCCAAACCGAGCACTAAGCCCGATACCAGCTCCCATGAAACTCTGGTCTGTGGCTGCCTCTGGGGATTGCTGCAAATAAAAGTCAAGAAATAGCCCAGGATGAGCAGACTTGCTGCCTGCTGTTTCCCATCTTCTGTTCCTCATCAGCCTCTGATGACCTGACTCGGCTGCACACGACCCCAGGCAGCTAGCTGGCAGCACGCCAGATTCACTAACCCTACATGGTGGCACTCAGTTGGAAGTAACGGAGGAGGAGAAGGACCTCGGAGTCCTGGTTGATTATAGAATGACTATGAGCTGCCATTGTGACATGGCCGTGAAAAAGGCTAATATGGTCTTGGGATGTATTAGGCGAGGTATTTCCAGTAGGGATAAGGAGGTGTTAGTGCCATTATACAAGGCATTGGTGAGACCCCCATTTGGAATACTGTGTGCAGTTCTGGTCTCCCATGTTTAAGAAGGATGAATTCAAACTGGAACAGGTATAAAGAAGGGCCACTAGGATGATCCGAGGAATGGAAAACCTGTCTTATGAAAGGAGACTCAAGGAGCTTGGCTTTTTTACCTTAACCAAAAGAAGGCTGAGGGGGGACATGATTGCTCTCTTTAAATATATTAGAGGGATAAATACCAGGAAGGGAGAGGAATTATTTAAGATTAATACCAATGTGGACACAAGAACAAATGGATATAAGCTGGCTAGTAGGAAGTTTAGACTTGAGATTAGACGAAGGTTTCTAACCATTAGAGGAGTGAGGTTCTGGAACGGCCTCCAAGGGAAGTAGTGGGGGCAAAAGGTCTATCTGGCTTCAAGATTAAACTAGATGGGTTTATGAAGGGGATGGTTTGATGAGATAACATGATCTTGGTAACTAATTGACCATTCATTATCAGAGGTAAATACGTCAATGGAGGGATGATAGGAGTTACTATAGAGAACTTTCTGGGTGTCTGGCTGATGAGTCTTGCCCACATGCTCAGGGTTTAGCTGATCGCCATATTTGGGGTCGGGAAGGAATTTTCCTCCAGGGTAGATTGGCAGAGGCCCTGGAGGTTTTTCGCCTTCCTCTGTAGCATGGGGCACAGGTCACAGCTGGAGGATTCTCTGCATCTTGGGGTCTTCAAACTATTTGAAGGCTTCAATATCTGAGATATCGGTGAAAGGATTATTCTAGGAGGGGGTGGGTGAGATTCTGTGGCCTGCATTGTGCAGGGGGTCAGACTAGATGATCATAATGGTCCCTTCTGACCTTAAAGTCTATGAGTTACCCAAGGAGGTGGTGGAATCTCCATCCCTAGAGGTTTTTAAGTCCTGGCTTGGCAAAGCCCTGGCTGGGATGACTGAGTTGGGGTTGGTCCTGCTTTGGCAGGGGGTTGGACTTGATGCCTCCAGAGGGCTCTTCCCACCCTAATCTTCTGAAATTTGATGATTCTCTGGGTGAGCTCCTGGCAACAGAGAACTGGCATATGGAAAAGGAAGCAGCTGTGCTCCAGGTTTATCAGCAACAGGTGAGATTGGAAAGATTTTTCTCTCAATGCTCCCTCCTTAACATGCAGTTTTGCTCCTGGCCATTCAGAATTGAAAGAGCAGTAAAAATGCTCTAAATACGCACAGAAAATTCTCTGTGTCTCCCCCAAACCGAGCACTAAGCCCGATACCAGCTCCCATGAAACTCTGGTCTGTGGCTGCCTCTGGGGATTGCTGCAAATAAAAGTCAAGAAATAGCCCAGGATGAGCAGACTTGCTGCCTGCTGTTTCCCATCTTCTGTTCCTCATCAGCCTCTGATGACCTGACTCGGCTGCACACGACCCCAGGCAGCTAGCTGGCAGCACGCCAGATTCACTAGCCATACATGGTGGTACAGGTTTCACTATCAGACAAAGCAGCACCCTCCCTTTGGCTTTCAAAGGCGTCAGGTTTTGCACCGGGGGTTAAAAGAATATGAATAATGCAGGAGCTGGGAAACTGCACTGCTGACTGCTCCCACGCCCTGTGAGCTCCGGGGCTCCCGACTGCTCCGTGCGCAGAGGGCAGCATGCTCAGTGTGTGTGGCCAGGCACGGAGCCGCAGGCAGAGCTTAGCTCAGCTCTGGTGAGCGCCCCCGCAAGCGCTCGCTCGCTCAGGCAGGCAGGACCAGAGGCGCAGCTGGTGACCTGGCTGTGCCTCAACCCAGGCAGACTGAAGGACCCACCAGAGATGGACAGAAGACAGCCCTGCGCTGGCACCACACTGGGCCGTTTGTGGGCAGAAGCCCTGAAGTGGCAGTTTGGGCAGTGCTGCTCAAACTCACCTGTGCTCCAGGGGCCGTTTTGCAGCAGGGCAGCTATGGGTGTCAAGCTGGCCTGGATGCTTTGCACCAGTGTAACATGGGGCTTATCCCGGGACTGTGCAGCCCCTCTACACTCGTGCTGAAACCCCTGACCATAGACAATGCTGGCTCTGCTTCTAGAGGTCCAAGCCAGCCCCCTGTGGCAACGACAGAGCGATTGGAGCAATAACTGTACCGATTTTTGTAGCACTATAAATATTTTCAATGGGGAACACGTCTCCCAAGCCGTACAAGAGAACTTTGGCGAGCGCTGGCACGAGCTGTGTCGTCGTGATCAGGACATTCACACAATTTTTTCTAAAGGATAAAAGAAGAAACAATGAACACGCGTGGCGGCAGAGAAAGGGGCTGGCTCTGGGCAGCCCTCGCCTGGGCCGTGTGCTCTGCTGGACACTGCAGAGTGCGGTTTAGTCTCTCTCTCTCTCTCTCTCTCCGCCCGCTGCGAAGGCCTCCCCCATCCCTCCTTTACACGAACCTGGTCTGAGCGCCGCGTTCAGAACCGTTAGCAGTAGCTGGGCTCTGATGGGCCTGTGGCTTTCTGCTCCCTGCCACTGGCCTGGTGCAGGCCAGCGCGGCTGAGCTAAGGGACCAGCATGTGGCCCTGCTGCTGAGACACAACAGTCCAGCTCTCACTCCCCTGGAGAGTGCGTGGGGAAATCTCTGTCATTTCAGGTATAAGCTCTTCCTTTGACTGATGCTTACGCAGACAGTAACAAACACCTGCCAAAGCCAGGTGAGGGCTGCTGGAACCCTGACCTCCACAGGGAAGGACACGGAGCGAGCCCAGGGCATCCCCTCCAGCATTGTGAAGGAACAGGCAGCTGGAGAAAGCTGGGCACAGGTGCCAGCATCATGAGCTCCTTCAAGGGGCTGCTGCTCAAAAGCCTTTTGCTCTGCTTACGGGGCTGCTGTGAGGCTACAAGCCACAGAGCAGGAAGATCTTGTCTGCGGAGTGGTTCTCTGCTCTGACAGAGGTGTGGGCAGTGGACAGCTACTGCTGCAGTGAGACCTCGCCCCGTACCTGGACTGTATGAGAAGCAGGGATTTTAATGCAGTTCCCAGCCAGGAATCTGTTAGCACTTCTATATCAGTCCGTAGCCTCTGCAAAGCTTCCCTCTTCTGTGGGCTGAGGAGGCCTATAGGAAGTGAAGACAAACAAAAAGCTCCTTAGAAAACCGCAGTTCCTTATGTTGCATTCTTGCCCAGTGCAGGGACCATCCCCACGCGGCCCTCAAGGCAGCAACGTGCTCTCTGGCCTGGGTGGCTGGAAAGGCTGCTGTCATGCCTGGGGAGGAGATAAGTAAGAGCACCTTCCATGCACACAAGCGCCAGAGCTTGGAAGGGGTGTTTGAACTCGCAGGAGTGCGGGGAGAGGAAACGGGGCAGGCACCTCGTGGCCTTTGACACGATGGGGACAATTAGCTGGTAGAGCACTGGCAGGACGAGCTCCACTGAGTGAGGGAAAAGGAACTAGGAACTCCTGTGTGCTATTCCCAGCTCTGACACTGACTTACTCTTGGGCAAGTCTTTAATCTCTCTGTATCTCTGCTTCCCCATCTGTAAGAAAGGGGAAATGCTGCCCTAACACCTGGACACTGGGCACAGCAAGCTGGGCAGCGCTGGCGCAGTAAAGCACCTTCTTTCTAGATTCACAGGGCCCATCTGACCCACATGGCACAGGCCAGAGAATTCCACCCAGCAGACCTCGTCCGGCGCCCTGGAGGTATGTTTGGAGCAAGAGCTCAGCTCTCGTGGAAAGGGACTCTGACCGAACAAGACGACTTGCACACAAGGGTTAATAGTGCTGCGCATCCCACTACTGCTCCTGCGCTCGCGTGGACCAGACAGAATTGGAGGGCTGCAGGAATACTGTTGGTGGGAGGAGGGGAAGAGAAGAAACTGGATAAGGAATTCAAAGAACTTTGCCAACAGATTTTCGTGGGCAGTACCACGCGCACATGCAGCAAAACTCGCAGCCTAGGGAGAAAGGGCGAGTTTCACACGCTCAAGCCAGATGCAAGCAGTCGGACGTCCCACACTCCTCACCCGCTAACCGTGCCAATCCACCTCAGGCCTCAGCTGCAGCATCTCTCGTCCAGCACCTCCCCAACCCAAGCTGTCCTTGGCTAATGCAACCAGGCCTAACGTGCTGCAGTTCCAGATCTGGGATTCTCCATCTCCCTTTGCAGACCAGACTCCGAGAGGTCCTGCAGCCCAGTCCCCTGCACTCACAGCAGGACTAAGAATGAGCTAGACCAGGGGTGGGCAAGATACAGCCTGTGGGCTGGATGAGGCCTGTCATGCCTTTGAATCCGGCCTGCTCGCTCTGTGGCAGGGAGAGGCACCACTCCAAGTGGCTGGCTGCTCCCTGCTCTCTGTGCTGCAGGGCAAGGGATGCTTCATGTGTGGCTCTTGCCCCCAGTAAAATCTCTCAGCTCCTATTGGCTGGACACTGACCAGGAAGAACTGATTTTGTTAGGGATGGGGGCAGTGCAGCACAATTTCTTAGCAGCCATTGGCTGGTTTCCGGCCAATAGGAACGGAGAGATTTTGCTGGGGCAGGGGCCGTGGCCGTGTAGCACAGAGAGTCTCACTGAAATCAGCCTGGTGGCAGATGGAGACACCTGCCTGAGAGTGCTGCTGGCTGGGAGCTGTTTAGCTAGGTGCCTGCCTCTGGCACCCAACTCCCCCCAAACCGTGCACCCCCCTAAACGCCTCCACCAGACCAGAATCCTCTCCTGCACCCGCACTCCCTCCCTGATCCTGCACCCTAATCCCCTGACCCAGGTCACAATCTAGACCTGCATCTCCTCCACAGAAAAGTGCAGCTCTTGACCACTTACTAAAACCTTGGAGTGGCCCCCTACCAAAAATTATTGCCCACCCCTGCCTTAGAGAGCCCTTTCCACTCCGCCTCCGGCACCAAAGTTCCCTACCCAAGCCCCTTGCTGCATCCAACCTCCATCCCAGACTCTGCACTCCCCACAGAAAAGTGCAGCCCTGGACCACTTATCAAAATCTAGGAGTGCACCCATCAAAATTATTGCCCACCCCTGATCTAGACCACCCCGACATATGTCTAACCTGCTCTTAAATATCTTCAGCGAGATTCCACAACCCCCAGGCAATTTATTCCAGTGCTTAATCACCCTGACAGTTAGCAAGTTTTTTCTAATGTCCAAGCTAAACCTCCCTTGCTGCAGTTTAAGCCTAGGGATGTTACATTTCGATTGATCAGCTCATTGAATAGTTGATAAGGGCGCCTCCGCCTTTGAAATGTAGCAACACTTGAAGGCGAAAGCACTGCGGGGGCAAGGGGCCTGTGGGGGACTCAAGCAACCCTCTGCTAGACCCATGCTCCCTGCAGCATTTCAAAGTGGCAGCACCGCATGGAGCCCAGGGTCAGCAGGGGAGTTCCCAGCTGAGCCCGGGATGCATGCAGCGTCTGGCCCTGGGCTCCACGGGGTGCTGCCGCTTTGAAGCACCCCTTTCTCTCCCCCCCATTTGCTGCCTCTTTCTGATGGAAGCAGCAAGGGGGGAGTGGAAGCGGCTATTCAATTAGTGCGTTGATTATCCAATAAGCTTTTGCTTATCGGGCAGTTGACTAATCGTTCACATCCCTATTTAATTTGCTGCCTCTTTCTGATGGAAGCAGCAAGGGGGGAGTGGAAGCGGCTATTCAATTAGTGCGTTGATTATCCAATAAGCTTTTGCTTATCGGGCAGTTGACTAATCGTTCACATCCCTATTTAAGCCCATTGCTTCTTGTTCTAACCTTAGAGGTTAAGAAAAATTCTCCTTCCTCTTTGGGACAACCTTTTCAGTACTTGGAAATGGTTTTTCCCCCTCTTAGTCATCTGCTCTTTACCAGACTAAACAAACCCTATTTTTTCAATTTTCCCTCATAAGTCATATTTTCTAAATCCTTAATGCTTTTTGTTCCTCCTCTCTGAATTTTCTCCTTTCTTTCCTGAAATGTGGTGTCCAGAACTGGCCACAATACTCCACTTGAGGCCTAACTGGTGCACAGTAAAGGGGAAGAATTACTTCCTGCGTCTTGCTTACAGTGCTTCTGCTAATACATCCCAGAATGCTGTTCACTTTTTTCTTTGCAAGTGTCACACTGTTTAGTTACATTTAGCTTGTGGTCCACTATGTCCTGCAGATCCTATTCTGCAGTGCTCCTTCCTAGACAGTCACTTCCCATTTTGTATGCAACTGAGTGTTCCTTCCTTGGCGAAGTACTTTGCATTTGAAGTTCATCCTATTTACCTCAGAGGCGTGCTCCAGTTTGTCCAGATCATTTTGAATCACAGAATCACAGGGTTGAAAAGACCTCAGGAGGTCATCGAGTCCAACCCCTGTAAGACCAAACTCAACTAAATCATCCCAGCCAGGGCGCTTTCAAGCTGGGACTTAAAAACCTTTAGAGATGGAGATTCCACTCCCTCCCTAGGGAACCCATCCCAGCGCTTCCCCACTCTCTAAGGAAACAGTTTTTCCTAATATCCAACATAGACCTTGCCCGTTGTAACTTGAGACCATTGCTCCTTCACTACTGAGAACAGCCTCTCTCCAGCCTCTTTGGAACCCTCCTTCAGGACGTTGAAGGCTGCTATAAATCCCCCCTCACTCTTGTCTCCTGCAGACTAAACAAGCCCAAATCCCTCAGCCTCTCCTAATAGGTCATGTGCTCCTGCCCCCTCAGCATTTTGGTTGCCCTCTGCTGGACTCTCTCCAATGCGTCCACATCCTTTCTATAGTGGGGGCCCCAGAACTAGACACAATACTCCAGATGTGGCCTCACCAGAGCTGAATAAAGAGGAATAATCACTTCTCTGGATCTGCTGGCAACGCTCCTCCTAATGCACCCTAATATGCCATTAGCCCTCTTGGCTACATTATATCATTAAAGTTTATCCTCCAAAGCCATGAGGGCAGGGGACTGGACTTGATGACTCTCGAGGTCCCTTCCAGTCCGAGGCTATGTCTAGACTGCAGGCTTCTTTCGAAAGAGGCTCTTTCGAAAGCCTCTTTCGAAAGATTGCATCTAGACTGCAGGCGGATCTTTCGAAAGAGCAATCCGCTTTTTCGAAAGAGAGCACCCAGCGAGTCTGGATGCTCTCTTTCGAGGAAGCCCTATTTACATTGAAGAACGCCTTCTTTCGAAAGAGGAACTTTCGAAAGAAGGCGTTCTTCCTCGTGAAACGAGGTTTACCGCCATCGAAAGAAAAGCCGCGTTCTTTCAAAATAATTTCGAAAGAACGCGGCTTGAGTCTGGACGCAGGGGAAGTTTTTTCGGGAAAAGGCTACTTTTCCCGAAAAAACCCCTGAGTCTGAACACGGCCCTAGTGTTCTATGATTCTATGAAAGCACTTGCAATCCCTCCAAGCTCGGTGTCGTCCGCCATGATGCTCAAACTCCACCCTGAAAGTCCAGCTCCTGTGCGTGCACACGTGGCCTGCACTCACCTCCCACGTTGCTTTTGTGCTTGTCATAGATCTCGCGCACTCTGCGGTAGCGAAAAGCCAGTTTTCTCATCCAGTCAACTCCGCCCTGCACCCCCCCGGCGGAGCTGTGATTTGCACTGCTTCCTGAGCCGCTGAAGCCATCCGTGGAGAAATTGTAGTTACTAGAGCAGAAAAACAACCTGTTACACAAGTGACAGCCCCAGGATGGTTGCCCCCCTCCAGTTCCATTCCCTGCCCATGGCCGCTCAAGCCGCTGGGACTGCCAGTCCTCCTCCCCATCACTGCCTCTTCCTCAGCCCCAGCGCCAGCAGGGACTCTGGCCCAGCTCCCTGGTCTCATTACTGCATCTGAACTGCATTTCAAGGGGGAGAATATGCCTCTTGCACCTTCGCAATCACAGAAACAGGTGTCTGCTCCCCCTGCTACCACCTCCCAGCTATGGAGCATGCTACTCCCCTTGACTTGCCTCTCCTCCCGGCTCCAAGCATCAAACGTCAGCACTCTCACCCTTCCCAGCCCCCTTCCTGGGCAGACAGGCAGCCCCCCACCCGCATCCCCAGCATCCTCCAGAAGCCAAGAGCTCGCAGCATCATTACCCTTTGCTTAGCTGGAAATGCCCCCCTCAACACACTCAGTGGCCCTTGTTTCTGCATCACGGATTTCAAAACAAGGCACCTTCCCTCCCTAACTGCTGAGCTCCAGCCGCCACATTTCTTAGCTCTGAGACATCAGGAAGGCCTAGGTGAAAAGTCCCAATAAAGTGGTTTAAATTCACAGCCTGGTATCTAGAACCATCCCTACATAAAAGCCCTCTGAGAATCCCTTTGGGTTAGGGTACCTCCCTGTCACTTTCCCCTGGAGATGCTTCTGCTCTGAGGGGCACAAATTAGAGACCCTCCGCAGGAGCCCATCAGCTGCCTCCCTCACTTGGTGGCTCCCCATGAAGACCTTGCTGCCTCCTAGCCAACATTTTTCAGTGGTCTCTGCAGCTGCTGTCTGACTCCTCTGCCTGCGTGGGCTTCTGTACAAAGTCTCACTGAGATCTAGTTTTTCCCGTTTCCCTCAACCTGCACATTTGTCAACTGAGTCCACACTGCTCACAAGTCTTCCCTCTAGGCACCGTACCGCAGGCCGCGTGACCGCCCGGCACCGTACCGGCCAAATGAAGAAGGCTGTTTCCAGCTCAGGTTGCCCATTCACCCTGGGGCTCAGCTGCACGGTGCCCTGGCCGCGTGACTGCCCGGCACCATACTGTGGGCAGACTAAGGTGTCAAGTAGGGTTAAATGTCTCCCATTAAATAGACTGGGAACAAATTTGCCTTTTCTATTGTCAATGGGATCACCAGAACTGGACACAATTTCTAAGGGAGGGACATGCTATTATAAATACCAGCAGTGGTTAGACCCTCTCGCCTGCCTAATGCTGCTTCCCAGACTTGATGCCCTCTCAGCCTGACCACAACCGTAGCCTGGTCTCTCTTTCTGAAGTGTTCACGTGGAACCCAGAGTGGTTCAAATTATTCCTTTCAACGTGTCAGGTGGTCCCAGCCAGCTGGCCGTGTCAGTTTCCTCTGAAGTCCTTTGTGGTCTTCTGTGACTTCACTTCATTATATTGATGTAATTTATTTAACAGTTCAATTGTAGCCACATCTCAGATCCACTTCTGTGTGTAACGTGAGCCCAGATTATGAAACAGTTTGTGTGCACTACAGCTAGCTACACCTAAGGATGTCAAATATCAGTGAATTGACTAGTCAAGTAGTCAATGGAATTTCCATCCACTACTCGACAGGCACTTCTGCATTCCTCCTCTGAAATGTACAAGAGCACCCGCTGGGCCCCTTGTACATTTCAGAGGAGGAACGGGGAACTGCACATGCAGCCTGGGCCAGCAGGAAGTCCCTTTGACTCCAGGCTGCACAAGGGCGTGCCAGCTTTGAAACGTACAAGAGTCTCAGTACAGGAGCTCTTGTGCATTTCAAAGCTGCAGCACAGCATGGAGCCTGGGGCCAGCGGGGGACTCAACAGACCATGCTGCACTGCAGATTTAAAATGCCGCCCGGAGCCGGGGTCAGCTGAGGAGTCCCAGGCTCTGGTGTTTCAAAGGGGCAGCCCCGCACAGCTGAACCTGGGCTCAACTGTGCGGGGCTGCCCCTTTACAATGAGGAGGTGGAGTTCCAAGGGCAGCACTGCACAGCTGAGCCACTAGGGATCAGCTGTGTGGCGCTGCCCTCTGAAGTCCCCGCCTATGCCCCCTCCCCCTTTGCTGCCTCTATCTGATAGGCAGCAAGGGGAGGCGGGGGAGAATCAACTCATCAACTGACTATCCAATAAGTCCTTAACATCCTTAGCTACACCCAGAAACCTGTGTTCGGCGTCAAGAGGCTGCTTTGCTAACCCTTCTTGGCTGATCACTTCCTACACAAGTAGCTGAAATCCCCCCATTTAGCAGTTTGCCATCTTTGGTTCCTCCAGCACTAAACACTTGCTATCACTACCCTAAACTGGATCCATTGGAAGAGGGGGAAAACCACTTTCTGAATCCTCTCTGGCTGTTTGATCTCTCTGTGGCCAGATTTTTTGGTGTGAATTCAATCAAGCTAATTTGCAAAGATCATTGTATTTGGAAGGGCAGCGGCTGGTTCAAAACTTGACTGCAGAGGGGCCAGGCAAGAGCAGAGCTGCTTGCTTGAGGGGAGATTCAGGCCCAAGGAACAGCCCCATCAGGCAGGAGCACAGACACCAGCCAGACAGCTGGCCCCATCTTGTTTCCTCAGTACTGGCCGACTATTGCTTCCCTGGGAACGCAATTGTTGCCTAGGGAACGCAGGAAGCTCAGATGGGGAAGTGGCTCCTCTGGGATAAAACGTGAGAGTCTGCCTGTGCTGGCCAAATGAAGAAGGCTGTTTCCAGCTCAGGTCGCCCATTCACCCTGGGGCTCAGCTGCACGGTGCCCTGGCAAAGACTCTGGAAGGACTTTCAGGGAGCAAGGTCTCACGGTATGGGCCTGTTTGCTCCTCTGTGTGTTGTGCGGGCCCAAGCACCAGGACAACACTTGATACAGCAATACCACCACGCACTCCAGGGTACCAGCTATGGACGCTCGAAAGGAAAGCAAATGGCGAGTGTCCACTTACTGCCGCCAGACAGTCCAACAGAGCACACGACTGGCTGTGCTGGATTGCTTGGCTGCACAGATTCCCCCTTGCCCACAGCTTTTCTTGTAGTAAATCTCTAGAGCCTTTCGTGGGGGCAAAATTGGCATCTAAATCCCCAGCTACCAAACAATTTGCAGATCCAGTATCCACATCCCTGGATGTGGATCCCCACGGATAGAAAGCAGATAGCCAGGGGTTTGCAGGGCTCTATAAATCTCTCCAACAGCTGAGCACTCCACACACCTTAAGTCTTGTCCATTGTCATCTGAGGCAACATCTTCTACATGCACTTGGTCACACTCCTGTGAAGACAAAAGATCCCAGATTGCTCTAGCTGCAGGATGCACTGCGAGCACAGAAATTGGCTGCTTGGACGTGTACAAACCTACACTGCCCGACAGGCTCACTCAGCTGAAATCTCCCTCCTGTCTCCCAGTACAAATCTTTGGAGGTTCTAGAAGAGTTACCTTTGCCACGGCTAGTGCCAGCGCAGCGGCCTTTCAACTCCGCTAGCAGCTCAAAGCTCCAGAACATTTGCACTGACCTTGTCGGGGCTGACCACGACTAGCCTGATGCTCCTTTAGAGAGCCAAGGGGGCGAGGACTATGGTCACTGAACCAACCAGGAGCCACACTCGGTATGTCTGCACAGCTGGGGCCATCCTGAGGAGGGTGTTGGGCTCAGGAACCCCCCATGCTGCTCCAGGCACCGTCCATTCCCACCTCTGCTCAGCCCTTGCCACACCCCTTCCCCCAAGCAATGCGACCTGGGGGATTACTGGGAGCGGGGCGCCTGGGGCTGGCAGCAGGGGTCAGACCTCTCCCACACTCACCGCATTGGTGGGAAGTGAATGACCCAGCCCCAGCCTGCTGCACCGCTCTGAGACCAGCTCCCAGCTATGTCATTCAGGGGAGCAGAGCAGGGTGGGACTAGGGCTCTCCACTTCTTGTTGTGGCAGTGAAGCGTAGTGACCTGGCTGGAGGATGGTAGAGCAGGGCAGGCTGCTGGGTTGCTCGGCTTTCCATGGCTCCCACCACCGCTGGGAAGTGAATGACCCAGCCCCAGCCTGCTGCACCGCTCTGAGACCAGCTCCCAGCTATGTCATTCAGGGGAGCAGAGCAGGGTGGGACTAGGGCTCTCCACTTCTTGTTGTGGCAGTGAAGCGTAGTGACCTGGCTGGAGGATGGTAGAGCAGGGCAGGCTGCTGGGTTGCTCGGCTTTCCATGGCTCCCACCACCGCTGGGGAGTGGGCCTTGAGGGGCCCCCCAAAGCCTGAGGCAACCCGAGCCATCCTATGGACAGGCCAGCTCTGCCTGCAGTGCAGACTTCTGGGCTTGGGCACAGGCTCTGGGACTGGGCAGTGCTTTAGCTGCAGCCTGAACCTGGATGTCTACACTGCAACCGCCGGCCCCAGCCAGCTTTGGGTGTCTAGCTGCAATGCAGCTGTAGCCCTAGAGCTTTTCTTTAGGTCAGGGAAAGGTGCCCAGCTAAACGCATGGTGGAACCAACTGTTCGTTTGCACGTCCTGTAAGGGGCCAGCCAAGGCCGAGTGGCCTGTGAACCCCGCTGCAGTCACAGGACACAAAGGCGAGTTAGTGGGTTACAGACGGTTAGACGCAGCCACAATCCAGCGTGTCTGTTTAGTGCCTAGCAGAGTTACAGACTTAGGGTGTTAATGGGCCACTCCACTTGGAATGGTCCCTTAGAATCTGCGCTACCTGCCTGTGCTGAGCAATCTGTTCCACCGTAACTGGGAGGGGGGAGCTCCTGGTCCAGACCTGAAGACAAGCCCTGTGTAAGCTCAAAAGCGCCTCTCTCTCCTCAACAGAAGTTGGCCCAATAAAAGACATTCCCTCCCCAAGCCTGTGCATCTCATACCCTGGACCGATGCAGGCACAGCTACGCAGGGTGAAGCTTTCAGCTTGATTACAAATCCAAGCCCTGTTTTAGGACTTCGTTTGCAACGCTGACACATCATTTGGTGTCAGAGGGGTAGCCGCGTTTTTTAAATTATTGCGCAGTCCTGTAGCACCTTGGAGGCTAACAACAGATATCTAGTACCATGAGTTTTCTAGTATCAATAGTTCACTCCCTCAGACAGTGAACTATTTCGTCAGTCTCTGAAGTGCTACAGGACTGCTCTCTTTTTTCACATCATTTGTTGAAGATACAAACAACAAATTAATTGCATCCCAATAAGCCAGCCATCGAGGCATGCCACCAGCCTATAATGTAGTGGCAGGACTACAATCAGTGTAGTGCCCATTATAGCAAAGAGCCACGGCAGAATCATATCCCCAAAATGCCCGTGATCTTGAAAATTTCCCCTTGCTGCTCTCAGGAGAAGCGATGGTAAGATGAGGAGGGTTAGAAGTTCACTAGCAGCTAGCAGCATTTTAACCACATGGTGTAGACATATCCTGAGCAAGCGAGGTGACGTGGCACCTAAAAGTAGAGCTCAGAGCGATTGTTTGGCAAATAGTAATTTTGCCAATAAATGCATTTTTCTGGGTGCCAAAACCATTTGAAACTTTGGGTTGAATTTGGTGAAATGTCAGTTAAAAAAAAAAAGGCAACCCCACACCTGAAACCCAATTTTCAAAATGTCAGACTGCATTGGCTTGACATGGCTTCAAACAAAGTGTTGGTTCGAACTGACCTTCAGAACGTTCGTTTGATCCAAATGAGATTTTTTTTTTCAAGTTGTTGAGAAAAATGGAAAAAATTGAGTTTTGGTTTGAAAGAAAAGACGACTCACCTCGTAACTGCTGTTCGAGTGCTTGCTGTGTCCATTCCAATTAGGTGTGCGCGCGCCGCAGGCACGGATTCCAGAGTTCTTCCTCAGCAGTATCCTTTGGGCCAGCCAGGGAGCCCCCTGGAGTGGCGCCGGCATATCGGCGCAGATATACCCCTGCTGGCCCCTCCCCCCCTTCTTGCCTAATTCCTCCGAGGAAGGGGAGGTGGGTGGAATTTGGAATGGACATGAGCAACACATCTCGAAGAACAATAGTTACAAGATAAGTAATCTTTTCTTCTTCTTCCAGTGCTTGCTCGTGTCCATTCCAGTTAGGTGATTCCCAAGCCGTGCCCTAGGCGGTGGGGTCGGAGACAGATGGTGTCTATGTCTACAGATTGCAGCACTGCCCTTCCAATAGACGCATCTGCTCTGGCCTGGTGTGTAATCGCAGTGTGTTCAGAGAAGGTATGTACAGACGACCACGTAGCCAGGATCGGCACTTGAGCTAGAAATGCCTCAGATGTCGCCTGTGCCCTTGTAGAACGTGCCGTTAATGGGGGAAGTGGTTTACCCGCACCATCGTAACATTCCTTAATGCAGGAGGTGATCCATAAGGATCAGCACTGAGTTGAAACTGCTGCTCCTCTCATCCTTTCCGCAATGGAAGTCGAGTTGTGACAACTTACGGAACTTCTTTGTCCTTTCCATGTAGAATGCAAGGACTCTCCTCACGTCTAGGCAATGCAAAGCCTGCTCTCTAGGTGTCGCGTGTGGTTTAGGGAAGAACAATGGTAAGTAAATGTCCTGGGACATATGAAAATGGGATACCACCTTGGGGAGAAAGGCCGGCTCCGAGGTGAGGGCCCTTAACTCTGATACCCTCCTGGCCGAGGTAATGGCTATCAAGAATGCCACCTTCCACAACAAAAGTTTCAAAGAGCAGGTGGCTACAGGCTCAAATGGTGCTTAAGGACCATGTTGAAGTCCCAGGGTAGAATCAGCGGGGCGTAGGTATCAGGGCAGACGACCTTTTTGCGGGGCCCCAGGCAGCATAACTCCGCGGGGCCCCCCCTTTGCCACGGTGCATGCGCCGTGACACCATGCTTATGCGTGATGGCGCCACGGCGCATGCGCGGGGCTATTTTAAGCGCGGGGCCCGGAGCGGCCGCCCCATTCGCCCTGCCCTATATCCCCCCCGGTAGGTCTATTGATTCCTTTCAGGGACCTCTTCACCATGATGTTAGCGAACACTGACTTTCCACCCTTCCGTGGGCGAAAGGCCGTGATCCCCGCAGGGTGGACCTTCAGTGAGGATATAGCAAGGCCCTGATGTGTGAGCTGCAGAAGGTAGTCTAAGATTAATGGAATATTGGCCCGCAATAGGTCAATCCCTTTTTGCTGTGCCCACAGCGCAAACTTCCTCCACTTGGCCTCAGAGTGCTCTGGTGGGCGATTTCCTACTCTCCAGTAACACCCTTTGTACTTCCTGTGAGCACCTTTGTTCTAGGTGCGAAAGCCACTCAGGTTCCATACTGCAAGGTGGAGGGCTGCCAAGTTCAAATGGCATAGTATCCCCTCCCCCAAATCTTGTGTGATTAGGTCTGAGACTAGGGGTAGTCGCAATGGGCCTTCCACTGATAGTTCCCATAGGGTGGAAAACCAGTGTTGTAGGGGCCACATTGGCGCTACCACCATCACCCTCACCCTGAACCATCTGATCCCGATCAGGGTGCCGTGTATTAGAGGAAAGAGGGGAAATGCATACAGCAGCTGAGTGGGCCATTGTATGTGTTGTGTGTCCCCTTGGGACCCAAGTCTCTGCCCCATGAAGGAGCACTATTTCTGGCACTGGGTATTGGTTTGGGAGGCAAACAGATCCAGAGGAGATAGCCCCACCTCAGGAAGACCTCCTCTACAATATCCCTCCTGATCGCCCACTTGTGGACTCGAAAGAAACGGCTGAGTCTGTCTGCAAGAGTGTTGCTGGACCCAGGTAGGTAGGCTGCCTCCAGGAAGATGTTCCTGGAGATGCACAATTCCCAGAGCTCGAGGGCTTCCTTGCACAGGGGAGAGGAAGGAGCACCACCCTGTTTGTTGATATAATACATGGTGCTCATGTCGTCAGTCAACACTTCTACCACTCTGTTCTCCAGGTGGGGCAGGGATGCGTGACATGCTAATCTGACCGTCCTCAGCGCTGACATTTGTGTGTAAGGAATTCTCCCCCGATGACCATAAGCCTTGAAGCCTGAGGGTTCCCATGTGGGCTCCCCAACCCACATCTGATGCATCCGTCATTAGTTGCACAGATGGGCCCTGTCTGGTGAAAGGGACCCCCCGCACATACAGTGTCCACCAGTCTAGCGAGTGTAGTACTGCTTCTGGGAGAGCGACCCCCATGTCCGGGGGGATTGCACCGGGTTGTGGACGGTCCTTAGCCACCTCTGTAGCAGTCGGAGTCTCAGCCTGGCATGAGTCACCTGGTACGTGCAGGCTGCCATGTGACCCAGCAATCGCATGCAAGTGCATGCTGTGGATACGAGGGACCTCTGGAGGTCCGTGATT